TGCTTCTTCGTGACAATCCGGCCGCTCTTGTTCTTCATCAGGTCCGTCTTGTGGAGGCCGGTGTAGGTCTTCTCCTCACACGTACACAGGAGCCAGTGGCATCAAGGACATGCAGAAACGGCTCTGTCAAAACACGTCGATGCCAAGAACCGCATGAAAAACACAAAAGAGATACACGAGAGGGAGAGAGGCAGGAGGGAGAGTTCAAACGGCCAACCCAACAAGCCAATGTCAAATCCGTCAGACAACCTGCCACTCTCCCTCCAGAGTTTCCTTGCTGCCCTTGAACACGGCAAGCTTCGCACGCTTGCCCTGCGCAATCTTGCTGAGTGCCTTCTTCTTCATGGCCTGGACTTGAATTCGGTTTCGCCTAATTTACAGCTCGGGATTCCTCGATGTCGGATGTTATCGTTTTCCTGTCTGCTGAACAAACACAAATGTCCGCTTTTCTGTCCTGCGGCACCGCAGTTCACCACTCTTTGCTCGACGTATTCTGCCACAACTCTTGTAGGCTACGCTTTACTACGCCGAACACCTCAAAATCTCTCAACTGGGCTACAGCGTCCCGAGCCAACCTTCATTGCCTTGGCCTTCATGGACTTGGCCTTCATAGCGCTGCCCTTCATTGCCTTCAATCAAGAAGTTCTGTGAAAAGGCTTCCCAGTTGTCGGAGTGTGATTTGGCGGTGGGTTCTTGGGAATGCTGCAGATTTATAGAACAAGGACACCCTGAACTCCGGCTATACCGGCTGCGGCCTTCTTCATGGTGGTCTTCATTGGCAGGGCCATGGCTAAGAAACGGCGAAGGGCACAAGGGGCGTCTGAGCTTGTGTTGCTGGCAGGCTACGAACCAAATGCCGACCGGAACGTTGGGACAGGACTGCAGGGTTCACCGTGCAAAGACTTGCAGCTCCTGCGGCCCGAAAGACGTCTACAATGAAAAGATCTCGGCGCAAACACTGTAAGTTACACGAGGGATGTCTGAGGGGCTCACTGGCAGGCCCCCACAAGACTCATCAGCATGGGGCTTTCTAGACGTCGACCGCAGCCAGAAAGCCCTCCCTAGACCTTGAAGCCCCAAACCAGAACAGTTCATTTTGGCCTTCAAGCCTCCATCCTACACCCCTTCTCCGAACCTCAGGCAAAGCTCAAGTCTGGGACATCGGCGCATCAGCGGTGCAGCGACACAGTTCCGACAGCCTCAGCCCCCAGGACTCCCTGTGGTACTGATACTTGGGGATTCAGCTTGAGGATTTCGGACGGTTCAGAGTCTCAGGGCCCAGGATGCGGAGGCTTTCGGCTTCCTGTGGGAAGTCTTATGGATTAGAGGGCTTTGATGCTTCGGGGCCCCGGGGCAGGAGGGATTTTGATCTTGAGTTTACGGTTTCGGGCGTTTCGACGAATCGATGATCCCCTCATCGGAGGCCCCCAAGCACAAAAGACAGCTACGTCCGAACCTCCCAAAGCCGAACCCCCAAAAATCCACCCACCACGAACAGCAAAACCCAAACCCGACCTAGAATACTGTTTCTTACAGGACTCCTTCTTTCAAGTATCCTATCATACCGATCTCATAAGGCCGAGTTCTGCTTCTTCGGGTGAAGACTCGACATGGGCCCGAGACTTGAAGGCCGTCGTTGCACCCGCGAAGTGGCCTAGATTTCGGACCACCTGGCCAGTGGGTGCTTGCCGTGGCTGGCGCGTCGGCGCAACTACCAGGTGGGATTTGAAGTCTGCTTGCGCTGTTTTGTAACATCTGCCTAATTCCCAAAAGATCTCGTCTGAAGTCCCGGAACTGTTGAGGGGCGGTGTGGTCAAGGTAATGATGATAAATGGACAGCGCTATTTCTACCGTGAGTTCGAACCAATGACGACATGGATGTCCTCTGTTCTTAAATTTCGTGAATTTGACCCTATCCTTATATCCACGAACCACGAAAATATACGACATGACATGATGCATGAGCTGCTGTAACTGTCAAGTCAGGAGAGCCTACGAAGGTAGGGTTGGCCTGCCAGCTACTTTCCATTCTCTTTCGTTGGCTACATGGGAGTAATCTGAGGCTTTGACCTCTATACATCGCCGCAGATAACGATGGAACCAGGCGTCTTTGTTCTGAGGTCTTTGTTTTCAAGCGTGATGATGTCTAGGCCATAGAGGAGAACCAGAACAACACTGGCCATGAACAGCTACTTTATTTGAGATCCGCGACGTTTGGCCTCTTCATTGTTTACTACTGCGTCCCCATTGATATGATGTACGTCGCCCGGGGGGGTCTGTGAATGGGTGAAAAGCTCTGTTTTGGCCAGGTTCAGGGTGAAGTCGTAAAGCGAAGATTCAACTTGGATAGCTTTGACAAAATTCCTCTGCTTGCGGTTTAGTCGCGGCTAATAGAAGTGAGGCACTCTGGTCCAGGGCCTTATTGCGCTTAAGGTCCTTGATAACATCCGAAGTTGCGGGGTTTAGGGTTTAGGGTGGTGGTTCAGCTTCGGCACATTCCTCTTTGCTGTTGGTAATGAGCTGGTCCGGTCACATTCCTACTGTTTCACATCCCTTCGGTGCAGCTTGCAAGAGGAAGCTGCACACGACCCGCACTGGCGCTAGCTCGAGTTCTCGAGCGACACAGCCCAAGCCAAACGCTGTGGACCGAAGGCTTAGACCCCATGCCTGCATGGACCCAAAGCTCACATGCCACACGCTGGCGTCCGTCCTCTGTCCGGAGGTTCGTCATGCGCAGGTGAACTCTACTTTAGCTCCGGTTAAATGCGACAAGACCCGCCCGCAGGCACTTCACCAAAACCACCGAGTACCAAACACAAGCACCACAGTTTGTCGGATTCGGGCCTGACAGGCTTACGCGCAGTGACAGTGGCCCAAAGCTCCGGCGAAATGTCCGCCCCGCCTCTTTCAGGTGCAAGGCAATGCTGGCCTCAGAGACGTCTTCAGAACCACAACTTCAACAGAGAAACCCTACTCGGGGTCGTGGTTGCAGTTGCAGTGCTTCGTGGCCTTTCCACCGACTACTGCCTGATTCAACACAGACAGACGCTTGCACCGGTGACAAAAGTACTGACTCGTCTCTCCACCCCTCTGGCAGGAGAAGCTCAGTAACGGCGGGTCGCTCTCGCTCCTGCGCAGCTAGAGGTGTTGCGCACGTACTGTTTTGATGACTTCAAACTCCATAGCTCAGAGCACGAGACAGTGAGAGGGGATATTCTTCTTCATTGGAGAAAGCCAGAGTTATCCGATCGCCCTGGTTGGGCTTGGCTTCGTCCTCCGCGCGCCACATCACCCCGATGAGGTGCGCCAGAAGCCTGGAATGCAGGGTTTCGGTTCTTGGGCCTCGGGTTCAGGGTGTTATGGGAGTGTGAGGTTAAGTGCCGTTTGCAGGATTTGGAATGTAGGTTGGTGAAATTCAGGATTTTGGATGTCATAGGCTTCAGGGCCTGATGATGACGATGATGCTAATGACGATGTGGTGGTGCGACAGCGTGATGATGAAATACATGTGACTTGACCTGATATGATAGGATATGATATGGCTTGAGATGGCATGATGCGGCATGGTATGACATGATGTGATATGAGATGAGATGAGACGAAATGAAATGAGGTGAGTATGATGCGGTATGATATGGTATGATATGATGATATGGTATGATATGATTAGGAGGTGAGACAAGCTGAGATGACATGGCATGCCGTGTGTGGCGTGGCTTGGAATATCATGGCATGGCATGCCATGCCATGCCATGCCATGCCATGCCGGCCCTTCCGCGGATTGTATGGTGTGGCTTGGCGTGGCGTGGCGCAGTGTGGATAGTCTGGACTTGACTTCACGTGACCTCACCTGGCCTGACCTGACCTGCGGATGGGGACGATGACGATAACGCCAGCTTCAAGTGCATGGCGCAACGGATTGTTCGATGGCATCCGCGTGAGGCAGTGGATTCGTTGATGTCGGCATAGCTATGCTTGGCGCACCATCAGTACTATTATCAGACTAGCTGGTGCGGCGAGCAGTCCTGCTACTATCCACATCAACAGATTGCATTGGGTGCCAATGGCCCTGAAATGGTGTGCCGCTGTTCACATTTCTCCGGCTTCTCTTGACGCAGGACGTGGGGTTGCATCCAGTCGCAGCAGTTCCATCTCTGCCGCTGTAGCCGCTTGAGCCATATTCATGCGCGATAGTCTTCATGAGAATTTGACCCACTCCGAAACGTTCAGATCCCTCTCCGATCGTGGCCACGCTTGCAAGGCAGACCATGGTGCAGTATGGGTTGCTCGGTCCACAGCCTGGGCGCATGACGTCATTTGACGGTCTTGAAGCCGGACTCGTTCATGGTGCTGCTGCTATATGCCCCGTGTGGTGCTGCACGTGTGTACGAGAACGAGTCGGAATGCGCCCACCCGTTTCTGTAAGAAAGCTTGGGGTTGACCGAAGCTCTGAAACAGCAGTGTGAGGGAAACGCTTTCCTGCTGTGCTGCGATAGACCAGCTCCGCAGCAATAGCGGATGCTTTCCTTTCTGGAGTGTCGGCTTCAAGGGCTAATGCAGGGTGCGCAACGTGAACTCAGCGCTTTTCTGTGGTCTTCGCGATATACACTCCTCCCAGATTTATGAAAGTGGAATTTCGGCACAGACCATGTTAAACCACGTTGTCAACATGCCAGTTTTGAGCTGTTCACGCTAGATCGCCGTATCAGTGCTGACGGTACTGACCTCTGTATCACCAGGATCCAACCTTTTGCAGAGTCCTAAAAACACCACCGCAGTCACAGTCGGCGCCCTCGCCTGCTAGAAAGAGCCGACTTGCTCGACACGGCTGTGGTCCCAGGGACCTGGCATGCGGATGCCGGTTGGAGGGATTGGTGCGTGCTGTGTGGGTGGGAAGCGTTGTCAATGTCAAGCGTCTGCAGCCTCTCAAGGTTTGGAATAAATCATACAAGACGAGTCTCAGATGTCAAAGGAAACCCTCGGCGCCCCATGAAAAACCCAAAACTTCCTTAAACCTCCTCACATGAACCTTGGCCTTGAACCCCTCATCCCCATAACGACCTTCTCCAAGGCCTCGGCTGTAGCGCCTCAAGCGCAGATGAGGAGTCCGAACAGAGAAAAAAGGATGTGCGATGTAGGAGAAATTTCGCTCCGAGGCTCAACGGATGATTCGATCCATTATTGGGGGTCCGGCTCCTATACCTTGCAGAGCCAGGGTACCTTCAATCATTCGGATCTAAATGCGAAGGGTGGAGAGATGTACAGCTTCTTGGGTTCAGGACCCTCAACCGATCTAAAGGGTAACGTACTTTTGAGATAAACTCTAGATCCCAAACCCTGAAGCACCCTAAAACCCCTTAAGGCTGGGTCCGCCAAGGCCCTGTGGCGCCACCCAAAAGACCTGTAAAGCCCAACGGTGGCCTTGCCCAAATCGTGGAGACACCCTACATTCCCCAACCTTGGGAGGCAAAGTCTGAGTTTTCGACTTCGCCTGGCCGGATTCGGGGACTCCTTCTCGCATTCAGCTGGAGGGTGTCTGTTGGGGCGATTTCGGCTAAGAGGTTGGGGCTTTAAGGGCTTTGAAGGCTTTAAGTGTCAGTTTTGGGTTTCCCAAGCTCCTCGTCCTCACGATGGGCCAGCTCCTCTGCGGACAAATGGGGTCGGGGGAGGGGGGGGGACAAGAGCAGCAAACCTCGTTAATGACGGGGGGAGCACATGCAACAGCAGAATCAGCGGTGACTGCGAGTCAAGCAGGCCACTCTGGAAGCTCAGGGTCCGTGTGTGAGAG